CTGTGTTCTGCCTCCACTGTTGGAGAGCGCTGTTGCATAACCTCCAATGTGATGCTGCCCAAATCTGGGACATCATCTTCCAGGTCTGAAATCCTGTGTGATGCACAAGACCCACATAAAATCACAGATGTGAAAAAAGTAATGGCACCCAAAAACACACATTTTGGGGCAGTGAACGAGACCCCCAGATTCCTACTTTTTTGGGGGGTGAGATCTTGGCCAGAAATCATGTGAAAGCAGGGCATCCAAAATGGCTGCCTTGCTCACCTGGGAAAAAATGGGAAGTCCCGGTTTTTCCGGGGCAGTTGATGGGTATGCTGTTGTGTTCAGGTCCTGCTATTGGGGTTCACCTTGTAGCATCTGGTTGGCCACTTTGGGAACAGGGTGTTTGAGTAGCAGGCCCTGGACTTGATTCAGAAGGCTTTTCTTGTGCTCTGAATATAGACATTAAAACAGTGAATTGTGTGGGGTGGAGCAGAAAAGGAGTGTGCCGTCAGTGGCGATCAGCTCATTGCCACCAACCGTGAGCTGCATTTTAGGCAGGGATGAACTCCACTTGGAAACTCCATTCAGGAGCTCCTGAATGGAACCAATCCCAGCACCAAATTTTAAAAAGTGACAAATACAGCATGCTAAGGAACAATCAGGAATGCTGTTAAAGGCTTGTCTACACTTAGCTTTCCCCCTTTCTGGGCGCAGGTCCACACTGTCAAGCACTGTGTCCATGAGCTCTTCTTCTTCTTTTCCCTTGCATTTCCTCCATGAAAACCTGCTCTTTAACAGTGAATCAGAACAAGTGACAATTTGGATTTTCTGTGGATTGCTGCTTGTTCCAGTTCAACGGTAAAGAATGGGTTTCCATGGGGAAAGCACCGTGGGGCGGGGGAGCACTCTGACGCAGTGCTTTACAGCACAGACGTGTGCTTAGAAACACAGCACAAAAGGAAGTTGGGTGAGGCCTAAGTCCCCAGGTAATTACTTTCAAACTGCATATTTACCTGCCCTACCTACTACCCCTGATGTCATGTATGATGCCAGTTATAGGGCAGGTGAGAGTGGCTTGGGAGAAATGGCCTCATGGGCCAAATGAAGTAACCCTTGCAAATAGGCAAATGATGGTGAGAAGTGCAAAACAAATATTTGCTTTTAATAATAATAATAATAATAATAGTTTATTATTTATACCCCGCCAATCTGGCTGAGTTTCCCCAGCCACTCTGGGCGGCTTCCAACAGAATATTAAAATACAATAGTCTATTAAACATTAAAAGCTTCCCTAAACAGGGCTGCCTTCAGGTGTCTTCTAAAAGTCTGGTAGTTGTTTTTCTCTTTGACATCTGGTGGGAGGGCTTTCCACAGGGCAGGCGCCACTACCAAGAAGGCCCTCTGCCTGGTTCCCTGTAACTTGGCTTCTCGCAGCGACGGAACCGCCAGAAGGCCCTCGGCGCTGGACCTCAGTGTCCAGGCTGGACGATGGGGGTGGAGACGCTCCTTCATGTTTTAGGAAGACAACACACACGTGGGGTCAAAAGAGCTTGCTGGTTGCAGCCAAGTGCTGTGTGCCATTTCCCATAGATTGTTGGTGCAGGGAGCTTTGGAATGCAGCAGAAAAGCTTCCTTATCAAAAATGTGTGATCAAAGGGGCTAACCAAACCAGAAATGTATTAGGCTGTATCTTTATTTCTTATTCCATGCTGGGGAGGGCGGATAGAATACAATGAGCTCCCCCCTCCTCAAAATAGTGACAGTGGGCAAAGACCACAAATAGAAATTGTTGGGGTTAATGTCTAGGTTCGGACTTGTGGAGCCAGCATTATAATTTGCGGTTCTTGATGTCAGCAGAAAGGAATTGCGAAAGCGTATTCTCTCGCTGTCTTCAAAAGGGCAGATGCAAACCACATATTTTAACCACATGCAGAGCACATTTAAAGCCCATGACTGCCCCAAAGAATCATGGGGACGGTAGTTTTCCCCTCACAGTTATAGTTCCCAGCACCCTTGCGGTGTTGATCTACCCTTTGTAAGAAAAGAGGGGGAAATGCAATGCTGTTTTGCTGCTGAGCTGTTTTCTGTTTATACTTTTGCACCAGAAAGTTTCTCAATTAAAAAAGAACAAAAATGTGGGGGCAGGGACGTAGCATGGGGGGGGGGTGTAGCTCTGGGTGCATGATTTTTAGGGGGCATGAGCCAAGTACCCCCACACAATTATCCCTGTTCCGTCCTGTGACCCCAGAGCCTGGCCTGGCTGGCCTGGCCTTGCCTTCGCGTCGCTGGACCCCTTGCTGAATGGCTGCCTGGCCAGTGTTGGAGGTGGGGATTTGCCTGTCCAGGGCCACACTGACTGGGCATCCTCCTCCATGCAGGGATGGGCAGAGGCGCAGTGCAGTCCCATTTGGCTCCGGTGGCCAGGGCTGAGCTGGTACATGGGCTCCGTGCGCCCTCTGGCCCCCATGCACCTGTGCCCAGAAGCGTTGGCGGCGAGGGTTGGCCTAGTGCAGGGGGTTCTGTTGGCCCTGAGCATCCTGCCCCTGCCATGCGCCAAAAAAGGATGCAACACTGCTGGTGTGGGAGCAGGGGAGGTTTTTGGCAGTGCTTTGTGGTATGTGTCTCTATTTTCATCTGTTGGAGGGGAGGCATTCATGGTCCTGGGGCCTTGAGCTTGTGGTGTAATCCAAGCTGTCCTCCCTCCATTAAATATGAAGCAATTGCAGCTGCTCTCCAAGGCAACCACAGCAAGGCTGCAGGTTAAGAGACACCACAGTAACGGATCCCAGCTTTTTCTCCAAAGAGCTCAGAGCAGCCCCCACCACACACGTTTTTATTTTTATTTTGTCATTACAGTACATAGCTGTCAACGTTTCCCATTTTTTTAAGGGAAATTCCCTTATTCCGAATAGGATTCCTAGCAAGAAAAGGGAAAAGTTGACAGCTATGTTACAGTAGCCTTGTAGGGTAGGGTAGGCTGGGGGGTGACAATTGAGGCAAAGTCTTCCAGTGAGCTTCATGGGGATTTGGAACGGAGTCTGTCCAGGTCTTAAGTCCAATACACACACACACCCAAAACAAAACCGCCCCCCATGCCCTCCAAAGATTTTTTTGGACTACAAAGTTAATCAACCCTATCCAACATGGCCAATGGTCAGAGATGGAGTTGTGGTCCAGCCACAAGTCCCCACCCCTGTTTATGCACATGCTGTTTTAGAGGTTAGGACTTGGTTGGCAGCCACTCTCCATGGTATTACCAGGAGTGAGGACCCTGTGCTCCTTCTGGTGTCAGACTATAGCCCCCATCATCCCTGCCATGTTGCCCAGGGCTCATGGGAGTTTGGAGCCCAACAATGGCTGGAGAGCCACAAGTTCCCCACACCTTTCTTCGGCATTGGTCTTTCCCACTCCCTCAACCTCAGAGCCTATTAAATAAAGATGCTAAGGGTCTGAACCTGATACCAGTTACCTGGGAAACTGCTTCACAGCAGGTCAAACTATTTGTCCACCCAGCCCAGCATGTTCTACTCCAGGGGCAGCTAACCCGTGGCCCTCCAGATGTTGTTATGCTCCAACTCTCACCAACTGCGGAACAAAATGTTCCCTGCTCCTTTCTTATGTCGCCTTGCTTTCTGTCTCTTTCTGCTTTCCACCTGTGGATCTGAATGTCTGCCTTTATCTACTCTGTCTGGCTGGCTTTGCTTTGCTCTCCGTCTCCTGGCGACTGACGGTGGCAGCACCGCCGCCAGGTAATTGTTGCCACGGGAACTCCATCCTAAGGCATCTGCAATCACCATTGTGGTGCAACCGTTTCCCCTTCCCTGCTTCTCCTAGATATGTTTGTGTAGGGCTGTTGTGTTCTCTCAGAAGCTGCAACCAGACCGGTGGGTGTCTTGCCTGTTTGCCTTGCAAAGCTGGCCACCGTCGTTGGAGACATGCCGCTTTGGGTTTGCTCCTCTGAGGCAGGAAGTCTGCACATGTCCCAGGCTAGGATCTCTAGTCCTGGATCTTTGGTGGGGTGGAAGACGGCAAGTGTCGGAGCAGTGTTTCTCAAACTTGGATCTCCAGCTGTTGGACCACAACTCCCATCATCCCTGACCACTGGTCCTGCTAAGTAATGATGATGGGGGTTGTAGTCCAACAACAGCTGGAGACCCAAGTTTGAGAAATGCTGTGGGTTACAAGAAGAACCTCTGGGGCATCAACCATCTTCTCCAGCTCTGGCCTCTCATCTGAAGCAGAGCCAGCAAATGGTTGTTTGGGTTGATGCACCAAGTCCCATGAGTGTGTTTGTGCAGGCAATCTGTAATAGGACAGCTTCTTCACCCACCACAGGGGTGAGGAACCTCAGGCCCAAAGGATGAATGTGGTCCTTCAGGCCTCACTTCTGGCCCTCGTAACTCTTCCAGATCGCATCCCCTGTCTGCCAGCCACACCTCTCACTGGCCCTGCTTAGTGTTGAGGGCAGACATGCCTGACTGGAAGGTGTCTTTGTACTCCAGTCATGCCTCTGGAAGGAGGACAGGGAGGGAGGCATGGATGGGTGCAGAAACCAACCTATGTGCAAAAGTAAAATTGATATCAATTGCTCTGCCCATTTTGCCTCTGGCCTTGCCAACCACTGGCACATGGCCCCTGGAAGGTTGCCTAGAAAGAAGTGTGGCCCTTGGGATGAAAAAGGTTCCCCTGCCCAACCACCTATGCTGTTGATGTGGTACTTTCTTCTCTCCCTCCCTCCCCTCCATTTATCTTGCAGGAGAACAGAGAAAGAGTGAAGGAAGTTGCTCAGTAAGGGAAAAGGTCTTAAGCAGCAGCATCTTTATGTTTTGCAGACTAGGCCGAGCTGGGAGCTGACTGAAATTTTGCTCCCTTCAGTTGCGAAAGAGGAGACTGAAGCTTCCTCAAGGATCTCAACCAAGTGCTTTTGGGGTGGCCTTTGCCAAGCTCTGCAGCCTTCAGCCTAACTGAGCCCTCTGTTGTTGTTGTCTTTTTTAATTTTAATTTTTTAATTCCAGGCAGAAGAACTCTTTGTCCCAGAATTTTTCAGGATGGCAGCTGGTAAGTGAATCCTCTTACTCTTTCCCTGACTTGGTCTGCCTTATTGCTCTTTCGGCCCAATTCACAGACCAGCCCACACAAACTGGAATTGAGGGATAGGTCTCTGAGTTTAGGTCTCTGAATACCAGTTGCTGGCAATTGCAACTGTGGAGGAGAGTGCTCTTGTGTTCAGGTCCTTTTTTGGGGACTTCCCATTGTTGGCCACTCTGATAGTAGGGTGCCAAACTAGGTGGGCCACGGGCCTGATCCAGTGGGCTCTATTATTATCCTTCAGGTCTTCTTATCCAACCTCCCTCTCTGTCCAGCTACAAGACATTATGTCCACCAACTTGGTTTTAGAAAGGGGTTTGAGAGGAGAATAAGAAGAACAACTGAGGAACGAGGACTGCAGCTTGATTGAGGCAAGAGAGGCGTGATAGAGGTGCATAAGATTCTGCATAGTGTGGAGAGGGAGAGGAAGTTTCTCTCTTGCTTTCTCACAATGCTAGGACTCAGGGCCAACCAGTGAAGTTGAATGTTGGGCTCTTTAGGACAAACAGAAGGAAGCAGCGCATGAACTATGATGTAGCAATGGCTGCAAAACTCGGATGGGGTTAGAGCAATTCATGGAGGATAAGGCTAGCAATGGCAACTAGCCATGGTAGCTTTTTTCTCCCTCCACTGTTGGAGGCAAGAAGCTTCTGAACACCAATTTCTGGGAATCACAAGTGGAGAGGATGCTATTGCACTTGAGTTGCTGCTTGAATGCTTCGCAGAAGGGGGATCTGGATGGGCCCTGTAAGAACAGGATGTTGGACTACATGAGACCCCTTTGGCCTGACTCAGCTTCAGGTCTGCAGTGGAGCCCATCAACACCTGTTCTGCCCACCCCATCTTTCATGGTACCCGCAAACAGCACAGGTGACCAAGAGCTGTGATGCAAATTTTGCACAACATCCCATTGCGGTTACATCAGAGGCACTGTCAGGAATCCAATGGTGGCATTTTGGACTGCACTGCTACCACACTCTGGCCCCCATAAGCCAGCCAGCCCTGGTGCCCCCCCCCAGAGGGGTCCCTTTGCCGTGGGATCCCCTCAAACCTGGGGTCGACTCTCATGCCTTCTGATTGGCCTTACATGTCATTTGAATAGTGTTGGGACACATTTTGACAGTCCAAATACACTGTATTCCATCTTGCCAGTAGGTGCGTGCCTTGCAGCGTTGCTCTAGCTGCATTACATGAGAGTCAGTGGAGGCTGGTGCATCGAGGCAAAAGGGGCATCACCCTACTCATCTCAGCTTGCCCTCGGCCAGCCTCCACCTGCCTGCCTGCCTGCCTTCTTTCTTACAACCAGCCTTGGGGGTGTCTGTGCCTGCCAGATTGCTCCACCGCTGCCTTAGTCTCTGCAAGCTCAGCCATCTGATCTGCACCATGTAGGCTGAGAGTAACATTGTTTCTGGATGCTTTTGTCATGTCTTCAAATACAATTGGCTGTATTAGCCCGCCTCTGTTTTTTAATGAATGAATGAATGAATGAATGGGAACCTGGTTTGCTGACAAAAGTGAGTTCACTGCACAAACTTAGGGCTCATCCACAGTTCCGCTTTCCCCCAGGAAAACTCAATCTTTACTACAGAACTGGAACAAATGTCTATCGGGTTTTCTCCAGATTGACATTTGCTTTGATTTAGCACTAAGGAGCAGGTTTCCTGAGGGAAAGCAGAAGGGCAAAGGCTAAACCACATGGGATAAGAGGAGAGCGGTGTCTCACCCAGACTTGCACTTGTCCTGTGCCCAGAAAGTGTGGGCCTGACTGGTTTTCCTGAGGTGGTCAGCCTGTGTCTGGGCTTTGCCACTTCAGAAGGAGGCTCACACGTCTGAAAGTTTCTCCGTAGATATCAGTTCTTGGGCAGAGGCTCTCTCCTGGCCTTTGCATCTGAGATCCCCTTAAACATAGATTGTACTGAGGACCCTCCATAGGAAAAGCAGCTGCTCTGTTCTGAGCTGCAGCCACTACCAGCCATGTCCACATATCATGATAAGCAAGGGCTGCTGGTTGCTGGTCTCGGCTGCCCAACCACACCTAGTGTGGCTTTTCCTCTGCTACATGTCAGAGAAGCAACACAGGAAGCCAAAGTTAAGTTTGGCTTCCCACAATTTCGAAACTCAGCATCAAGGTTTGCTCCTCCCTGACAACCCAGTGCTGCTAGCAAGCCTTAAAACTATGGTTTGCCACTGGCTCGTAAATCCTAGCTCATTAGGGGCAAGCAAAGCATGGCTGGTAAATTGCCTTGTTTACTTCTTCCTCTTGTGCTAGAGGAGGAGTAGGGTCAGCGGGGGGTGGTCCGTTGGGACAAGAAGGCCCCTGCCCCATTGAACTCAGCTGGTCCTCAGCTGCTCATCTTCCTTTTTGCAACCGGTCCAGGGGGTGGCGCTCACTGACCTCTTCCCCATTAGTGTTTCCTTTGTATATCTCAACAGGGAGGAGGATCGGAGCAAAATTAGAACTAGTGGGCTCTGCCTGCCATTGGCTCTGGCACCACCTACTGTTGGTTTCCCTGCCTTCCGCCCCACTAGTCCCAAAGGGCACTATCCTGCACTGGGAATGACCGGCCCATGGGGATCAGCATGCCCATAATCTACAACAGACCATGATAATCAGACAACCTTGGCCTTTCTTAGCTGCAAACGTGGCTTTCCTCGGAACACCCCTTCTGCATTTTAGGTCGGTCCGCAGTACGGAAACCAGAACATAAACATCTCTGGTTCAGGCACATCAAAAGATTTCCCCAAGCCACACATGTCCCCAAGTAGGCAGTTGTAATTCTAGAAAGCTGTAATTAAAGGAGACCTCACCCTACTGCTTGCTGATGATGCCCTGAGCTGTGGACTGCTCCAAAACCCACCCTTTTTATTTTTAGCTCTGCTGCCTTCGCTGTCGTTAGGTTTTCACCCATCCAGTGCAACCTTCCAGGGGCCACGTGCAAACAGTGGGCGGGGCCAGAGTCTAGTTTCTAGACTCCCCCACCCCACCCCCTTCTCTAACTTCTGTCCTGGCAGGGAATGGGCACAATCAGAGATTTGGGACACATCCCAGGCAGGCAAAAGTAGGGCCAGTGAAGGACGTGGCCTGAGAAGTTCTGGGGGCCAGGTAAGGAAGCCCGGAGGGCCACAATTTGCCCTGAGTCTGAGGTTCTCCACCACTGCCCTAAAATGCAAGAGATGGGGGTGAAACTGCCTGCACCCTGACAAAAACCATTACTGAATTCCAGAAGGAATATATAAAACAATTCCTGTACTCTGAAATCATTGGCTTGAGGGAATGTGGTTGTTTCTTAAGTGTTTTTAGAAAGTTCTTCATTATATTGTTATTGCTGCCATAGGTTCCTTCAGGAGGAAGGATGCCATATAAAGGAATAAATTAAATTAAATTCAAATTAAACTTTCAGTAGTTTGAAATTTGGCTGAAGCCCAGCACGGGACATGCAAAATCCCATCCTGCTGTGGATTTGTGGCCTAGTGCCCCAAATGCCAACACTCTTGCAGTGTTGTGCTTCTAAAACACAAATCCAGACTTAATTCTGTGCATGGAGGCAGGTTTGTACATCCAGGTCAGGCAGCAGGTTGGACACTGTTGATGCCAGCAAGACCTGCAGACTAGAAATAATACCATTCCCACAATTCCACATGCATTTTTTTATTATTAAAAAAAGCACAGAAAATATGAACAGATGATGATAAAAAGAACAGATTCCTGAACCTCGATGACTCCACATTTTTGTAACGTGGAAATTAACAGCTGGGTAAAACCTCAGCGCCTAGGACTTGCTGATCGAAAGGTCGGCGGTTCGAATCCCCATGGCGGGGTGCGCTCCCGTCGATCGGTCCCAGCGCCTGCCAACCTAGCAGTTCGAAAGCACCCCCGGGTGCAAGTAGATAAATAGGGACCGCTTGCCAGCGGGAAGGTAAACGGCGTTCCGTGTGCTGCGCTGGCTCGCCAGATGCAGCTTGTCACGCTGGCCACGTGACCCGGAAGTGTCTGCGGACAGCGCTGGCTCCCGGCCTATAGAGTGAGATGAGCGCACAACCCTAGAGTCTGTCAAGACTGGCCCGTACGGGCAGGGGTACCTTTACCTTTTTACATGGGCATAACCAGGATTTATTGGGGTTGGGGCAGGACACCCCCCTGTCATCATCCTCTGTCTGGCTCAATCTAACAGTTTTGGAATGAAATGTCTCAACATCAGTTGTTTTAAATTACTTTTTTTTGACCACAAGTGCTCAGAAAAATTAGTCAAAATCTTTCTACAATTTCTACTTTTAGTTAAGTATTTTTATTTTATTTACTTGATTATGCCCATGGCTGGGTAAGTGCAGTCATGAAATTGTCCTTCAGCTGTGAGAGAAAATTCTTACTTTACATGCCCTGAAGCACTCTTTTTCATTCTTACTTCGCATCTGAGGCCTGGGGCTTACGAAAGGACTGGGCTCAGGAGTTCTCACTCCTCCCGCTCCAGCCCTAAAAAGGGTGTATGTGAGCAAAAAATATCCTCTGCACCAATGCATTTTAAGTAAGGAGTTGGGGGTCAGTCTGCGGGCAAGGTTACCCTTTTAAAGGGGCTTTTTTTCCAGCAGCAACTCAGGGGAACTCAGTTCCGGCACCTCTCAGTGAGCACCATTGCCATTCTAAGAGAACAAGGGAGGTGTTCATGGTGAGTTCTGGCACCTCTTTTTCTAGGAAAAATAGCATTGGCTACATCCAGCGTGACATCGTGGATATTCTGGGCTTTAGGGCTACAGAGACACAAGTTCAAATTCCCACTGAGCCAAAAAAACCTCACAGAGGCTAGTCATTCTCTTAGTCTGGACCTACCACACAGGGCTGTTGTGAGGATACACTAGGAGGACAGAGGAAAAACCGTGTACACAGCCCTGAGTTCTTTGGAGGAAAGACAGCATAAAAATTAGAACATCAGAATAGCATCTTGTTTTCCACGGCGGACAACCAGATGCATCTGGGAAGCCCTATTCTTGCTCTGGTTCCCCAGAAAACTGGTTTTCAGAAGCATGCTGCCTCTAGGTTTTCAGAAGCATGTGCCTCCTGCATTGCAGAGGGTTGGACTAGATGACCCTTGGTGTTCCCTTCCACCCCTACGATTCTATAATTCTGTAATGATGGAAGGAGCCCTGTATCACCCACCTTTCAGCTTCACTGAGTTGACTTCACAGGGTTCTGGCATTATGAGAGAGGAAGAAGAAGCTCTGCACCACGAGCAATTCTGTATGGCTCTATCATGCCTCACCCTTACTAGTGTGGTATAGCAGGTATGACTAGGACCTGGGAGACCTGGGTTCCAATCCCCGCTCACTGGGTCGCCTTGGGCCAGTCACTTGCTCTCAACCTATCCTACCTTGCCAGGTTGTTGTGAGATGAAATTAGAACGTTGTATGCCACCTGGAGCTCCTTGGAGGAAAGGAGGGATATAAATGCAACAAAACAAACAAGCACACAAGCCCCTAACCATCGAAACCTGTCCTTGAGGGGGAGTTTCTCCAGCTCTCTTTGCTCAGTCTCATACCATCTTAAAGGTAAAGGTAAAGGTACCCCTGCAGGTACGGGCCAGTCTTGACAGACTCTGGGGTTGTGCACCCATCTCACTCTATAGGCCGGGGGCCAGCGCTGTCCGCAGACACTTCCGGGTCACGTGGCCAGCGTGACAAGCTGCATCTGGCGAGCCAGCGCAGCACACGGAAATGCCGTTTACCTTCCCGCTAGTAAGCGGTCCCTATTTATCTACTTGCACCCGGGGGTGCTTTCGAACTGCTAGGTTGGCAGGCGCTGGGACCGAGCAACGGGAGTGCACCCCGCCGCGGGGATTCGAACCGCCGACCTTTCAAGCAAGTCCTAGGCGCTGAGGCTTTTACCCACAGCGCCACCCGCGTCCCCATTCATACCATCTTACATTATTACTAATTTTAGCAAGAGCCTTTCTTGGATTCTGAGTGCAGATTGGAGTTGAAAAAGATTCATAGTGAATAGATTGTTTTATTTTTAGATTTAAATTATATTCAGATTTTAAGACTGTCCACTGTAACTGGCACTTTAGCGAGCTGTGAATGTAACGGGTCCTTCTTGTGTTGGTTTCTGTTGTAGAAGTTCTGTTTCCTTCTACCCAAAACAAATCAAGCTTCCCACAGCTAGTGCCGCTGGGAGTTTAGACTATAAAGAATACCCTCTCCCCATATTTCTGGATTTTATTTTGCCTCACCTCAAGTTGCTTCCTCTTCCTGTAACTGGAATACATCTGATAAATTTTTCAAAACAGTTCAAGATTCCTCCAGCTTCTCTCAAGAGTCAAATTTGAATTGTGCTGAGGAGAGGCGCTCAAAGCAACAGATCATCTTACACTAACATGGAGCAGTGCATGAGGTCCCTTCGAACTCTATGATCCTATAACTCTATGATTCGATGACTCTGGGTCCTCCTGGGCTGGATCCAGGCTCTGTTTGCAAAAAGGAGCACATCTGGAATCCTCCACCCGTATTGGATTCTTGGCCCCCTGCAGATGCTGCATGAAACAATTGAGCTCTGGCATCTACTGGCCCTTAGCAACGGTCTCCATGGCAACCTGTGTTGGACTCTGAGCCACAAGGCCTCCCTAAAAAGCCCAGCCTAAGCCCAGCCCAGCCCCAGCTGTGGAGGGCAGGGTGCCCAGAGGCTCATGGACAAAAAATGTACTAAGCAGGAAAAGAGAGGCTTTCTGGGGGGCGGGAACAAGGAGGAAGGACAGGACGGGAATCAAAGCAGCAAAAAGGAGCTACCAGTGTTGGAGGGAAGATGGGTGCCCAGTGCTCCTGTGTGGAAGATCCCATAGTTAAAGCTGGCAAAGGTAATCTTGGGAGGGAAGGCAGCGATCTTTGCATCTGACGGCCTTAGGGCTTGTCTGAAATCCTTTGAAAGCTGGCTTCTGTTCACATTGCCCAAAAGCAGAGGCTGAACGCCTTCCATTTGGCAAGGAGCTGGGGTGGAGAGCAGCAGCAATAGCACACGTGTGTGTGTGTGTGTGTGTGTGTGTGTGTGTGTGTGAATCAGCACTTGCTTTCTGCTGAATATCTCTCCCTGGGCGGGCATCTGGTAAATGTCCACAAGTGCTTCCCTCTCAGAGCTTAACGTTGTCTTGTTCCTTCTTTTCCCCTCCCAGAAAAATTGAAAAACCACAAGATCATCTTTGTAGTTGGTAAGTATAGGAGACGTTGGTGGTCAGCCTGATGCAGAAATAGATCTCTCTCATCCAGCTCATAGATTTCCAAACAAACAGGAACAGGAACATTAATAAAAGTGAGGAACTTACCACTGAAGGGTTGACTGGGGTATGTTAAGGAAGGATCTGGGGCATGGGTAGGCAAATTAAGGCCCGCGGGCCGGATCTGGCCCAATCGCCTTCTAAATCCGGCCTGCAGACGGTCCAGGAATCAGCTTGTTTTTACATGAGTAGAATGTGTCCTTTTATTTAATTTGTATCTCTGGGTTATTTGTGGGGCATAGGAATTCGTTCATTTCCTCCCCCCCCAAAAAAAAATATACTCCTGCTCCACACAAGATCTGAGGGACAGTGGACCACCCCCCTGCTGTAAAGGTTTGCTGACCCCTGATCTGGGGCATGTTAAAATCCCAAGGAAGAGTAAAAACATAGTAAGCAAGCAGAGGTTTCCTGGTGTGTCCCGTCCTCCCCCCCCCCCGCCAGCTACTTAGGCTTCCCTCCTTCCAGGGATCCTCAGCCTCCCTCTCCCCAGTAGGCAGTCACAGTTGGAGTAGGGGTAGGGGAGTTTGCATTTAAAGGTGAACCTGTCTGACCCACGCTTTCAGAAACAGTACCACGAAACAAAACACAGCAGAGCTTTAAAATTCATTCTTATCCAAGTTTTGCAATGCAGTTCTCCTGCCAAGTAATGTGTTACAAAAATGCACATACACTCGGGGTGGGGCACGCGCGTGTCCATTAAATTGTGTATATAACTGAAAGTAGCGTAGATATTTGAATTATGCTAGGGGGAATTGCTTTGCAAAATTGCGTTTGTTTTGAAATTTGCATACAAAAATGTGTTTATGAGGAGAAATTCACACAATGCTGATGAATTTTCATGAGGTTCTTTCTTTTTTTGCAAACTGATGTGGCCATGTGGCAAACTGAACTTAGGATTGGAAAAAGAAGCAGGGAGGAGGACGGGGGTATATAATTAGTTGGTTCTGCCTTTCGTTGGCTCTGGATGCACCTGCCATTCCCTCCACCTCATCCGTCCCAGTGGGTACCAGGCGCCACTGCCTGAGAAGGTTTCATGATCTGCCACTCCCTCCCTTAAGCCATTTCTCTTCCTAGACTCTGTGGCGGAAATGTCTTGTGTTGTGTTGCAGGTGGGCCTGGCTCAGGAAAGGGGACACAGTGCGAGAGGATTGTTCAGAAGTATGGTTACACCCACCTATCCACTGGCGACCTCCTGAGAGCAGAGGTCAGCTCTGGCTCAGACAGGGGGAAGAAACTGTCGGCCATCATGGAGAAGGGAGAGCTGGTCCCACTGGTGAGTTTATGGTGGGAATAAATGGGGTTTGTTCTGACAGGGCCCTGCCTTCAATGCTCTTCTTAGAGTTGTAGAGTTGGAAGGGACACCAATGTTCTCTTCCAACCCTCTGCAGTGATCTCCACTAAAGCATCCCTCTGCTTAAAAACCTCCAAAGAAGGAGAGTCCACAAACTCCTTTCTTGAAACTTGAAGCCCTTGGTTTGGGTCCTACCCTCCAGAGCAGGAGAAAGCAAGCTTCCTTCATCTTCCATGTGACAGCGCGTTAGATATTTGAAGATGGCTATCATATGTCTGCTCAGTCTCTTCTTTACCAGGCTAAACATACCCAATTTCCTCAACCGTTCCTCATAAGGCTTGGTTTCCAGACCCTTGATCATCTTGGTCACTGTCCTCTTCATGACTTGGATCTCCTTTTTTTCTACCTAGTTAAGATCTTCCCTCTACCAGTCTGCCACCTTTCTTTTCCAATTAAATACCGTATTTTTCGCTCTATAACACGCTCCCAACCATAACACGCACATAGTTTTTAGAGGAGGAAAACAAGAAAAAAAATATTCTAAACAAAACAGTGGATGTATGATTTTTGTGGTTCATGCTGTGGCCACAGACATGTGAGCTAACGATGAGTTTGGGGTAGCCCAATGCAAAAATCCTGAGGATCCATGTGGATCCGTGCTTTGTAACCACGTGAATGAAGGAACTGTCAGTAATGTATGGTATCTCCAATACAGTGATGAAGGAAGAGGGGGGGAGCTCGCACTTGTCCTAGGCAAAGCAGCCAACTCCTATAGGCCTAGGTGCCTTCACCCCCTCCATTAAATATTTGAGGGAGTCATCCTCCCCCCATGCTGATGGGCATTGCCATTCATATAAGGTACCAGTGTGCATGCACTTTGTCTTGAGATCATTGCAGTCTGTGAGATGGGGCTTACCTGTACCTGCCCCCCCCCCAATATTTTATTGAAATTGGAAGCGGGAGGGAGGGAGGGAGGGAAGAGAGATGGAGAGCTCACATTTGTCCTAGGCAAAGCAGCTAACTCCTATGGGCCTAGGTGCCTTCACCCCCCCCATTAAATATTTGAGGGAGTCATCCCCCATCCCCCATTGTGGTATGTGAGTGGGGCTTACCTGGCTGTCTCCCCAATATTTTTTGAAGCTGGAAGAGGGAGGGTGGGAGGGAGGGAGGGAAGGAAGAGAGAGGGGGAACTCACATTTGTGCAGCTGCCTTGCCTCGAACTGAAGCAAAAAGAGGAGGAGATGCAGGGACACGAGCCTTGTAAGCTGCTTTGTTTAAATTTACCGGTGAGGTGCTGGGGGAGGGACGGAAGGGGATGCCCTCTTTGTCCCTCCTTCCAGCTCATTGTAAAGAAAGCAGAGTAAGAGCCACTTACATGTGTGTAAGGGAGAGCCATAGAGCAGGCAGACACTGAGAAAAAGAGGCTGTCTCCCTTCTCCCACCTTGGCTTTTACAGCTGCAGGCAGCTCTTGCCGGCTTCCAAGCTGCCTCCCTTCTCCCACCTCGCTAAAAAGCCATAGAGCAGGCAGACAGGAGGGAGAGAGGCTGTCTCCCTTCTCCCACCTTGGCTTTTACAGCTGCAGGCAGCTCTTGCCGGCTTCCAAGCTGCCTCCCTTCTCCCACCTCGCTAAAAAGCCATAGAGCAGGCAGACAGGAGGGAGAGAGGCTGTCTCCCTTCTCCCACCTTGGCTTTTACAGCTGCAGGCAGCTCTTGCCGGCTTCCAAGCTGCCTCCCTTCTCCAACCTCGCTAAAAAGCCATAGAGCAAGCAGACAGGAGGGAGAGAGGCTGTCTCCCTTCTCCCACCTTGGCTTTTACAGCTGCAGGCAGCTCTTGCCGGCTTCCAAGCTGCCTCCCTTCTCCCACCTCGCTAAAAAGCCATAGAGCAGGCAGACAGGAGGGAGAGAGGCTGTCTCCCGACACTCAGCTGTTGCTCAGCTGTTGCCGGCTTCTCAGGGAGCCAAGCGGAGGAAAAGAGGCTGCCGAACAGCCAGCAAGAGCGGCTCCTCCTGCCTGCATTCGCTCCATAACACGCACACACATTTCCCTTTACTTTTTAAGGGGGAAAAACTGCGTGTTATGGTGCGAAAAGTACGGTAGTTTTTATTGTGATATATATATACATATGTAATAACAAACCTATAACATAACATTCTCCTCCACCACTACCTCCAAAGCAGGTATCAGGTTATAACAGTAGCATAATTGATTCTTATTCATCCATACAAATTATCCAAACATCCTTGCCCTACCCAGCCACTCTGGGCAGCTTCCAACACATATAAAAACATGATATAACATCAAACTTTAAACACTTCCTGATACAGGGATGCTTTCAGATGTCTTCTAAAAGTTGTGTAGTTCTTTATTTCCTCGACATCTGATGGATGGGCGTTCCACAGGGCGGGTGCCACTACCAAGAACGCAGTGAGGGAACCGCCAGAAAGCCCTTGGAGCTAGATCTCAGGGTCCGGGCTGAACAATGGTATACATTCCTTCAGGTATATAGGGTCGAAGACTTGTAGGGCTTTAAAGATCAGCACCAACACTTTGAATTGTGATCAGAAATCTAGTGGGAGCCAGTGTAGATACTTTAGGACAGGTGTTATATGGTTCCAGTAGCCACTCACAGTCACCAGTCTAGCTGCCACACTCTGGATTAGTTATAGTTTTCAAGTCACCTTCAAAGGTAGCCCCACGTAGAGTGCATTACAGTATTCTTCTATGGTGATCACTCGTAGCTGAGTAAGATTGTCTTCCGTGAACATGGTCTTAAAGTGACTGGAGGCTAATACTGGATCCACACGTCGTTCCTCAGTGGAGACATAGGTTTCCGGGTGGGAGTTGATCAAGGTGAGGGTTTGCCAAATGTGCCTTCCTCTTAGCACATTTTCCCCTTTCGTCCTGAGTTTGGGCATCTTCAAAGTCCATGACACCTTTCGTAAAGGCTGTTCTCCAATTCGAGCACTTGTGTTAAATGGCCACCATATTGCATAAAATTTGCCCAGTTTTACTGTTCCATTTATCACTTTTAAGTTATGAGTTATTTCCTCAGTGGTAGCTGATTGCGAAATATTTTTACACCATAAGGTGTAAGGCCTTCCAGGTTTGAGCTATAGGTAGCTCAGCAACCATTTAAAGAACAGTCAATAATTCCTTGGTCTCTATATCAGTGTTTATATCAGCTCCACCACCTGTTGAAGTAGAAGGTCCCTTGGAAATAACTCCATGCCTTATGACGGGAGCTGCCTCAAAGAATACTTGCATAAAGCCACTTTTTTTTTTTTACTTGAGTTCCCTCCAACCCATTTGTCCTCTCCTCTTATTGAAAGGAAGTCTGTATGCAACTGAAATGAATCACAGAATCATAAAGTTGGAAGGGACCTCAGAGGCCATTGGCTCTGGCGCCACCTACTGTTGCCCTCCTGCTTTGCCAGTCATAATGGGTACCAGCCACTGCTGGGGCACCTCTAGGTCTCCTGATCACAGGCCCCCACAGTTTGCAGAGCGCTCCTGCGGTGTTAACTTCATGGCATTTCCCTTCTCTGCTCACAGGACACCGTCCTGGACATGCTGAGGGACGCCATGGTGGCCAAGGCAGACAGCTCCAAGGGTTACCTGATTGATGGCTACCCCCGGGAAGTGAAGCAAGGCGAGGAGTTTGAGAAGAAGGTAAGAGTGGAGTGGGTGGGATGAGTTTGGGAAGGGCTGAACCGGAGGATGATTGACTCAGCCAGAGTGGGGTGGATGGAAAGAGAGACCCTTTATTCTGGTTGGAACCCTAAACATTCAGTGGGGAGGTATTTGCTACGGATTTTGATTTGAACCTACCTGGTTTGAACTTTCTGAAATGACATGCAAACTGAAATGCAGCTATCCTTCAACTTTTGCACTTTTCCAGGCATTGCAATGCAGTTTTCCAGCCCAAGAGTGTGCACAGTGGTGTGTGTATTCGGGGAAAGTGAGCTTCCCTCTTGTGCATCAGTGGTGGTGGTTTGGAAGCAGTATTATTTTGAGCGTTTCCTGACTGGGATTCCCTGAGACAGCACAAGATGGCAGCATTGTTCCCCTAGCCTGGTCTAAGCTTGGCAAATAACTGCTGGTTTATTCCACATTCCTAGAAGCCTGGGCAGACAAGACTTGAGCACAGATTGAAAAAACCTGGACAAGGTGACTAGTAGCTTGGTGTCCACGCCCACTCTCCCCAGGTGGAGCTTCCAGATTGAATCTCCAGCCATTTCCAGTGTTCTGGACTGTGACCTGAAAGACCAGGGTTCAAATTCCCACTTGACCATGAAGCTCATGGCGTGAACTTGGGCCAGTCATTGCCTCTCATCCCAACCTACCTTACAAAGTTGTTGTGAGGATTAAATGAGGGTGGAGAACCACATACGGAACTTTGAGTTAGACCAGGCCCTGTGGAGCCTGTGGCCTTCCAGATGTTGCTTAGCTGCTGTGCTGGCTGGGACTGGAGAATTTAGGCCGGTGCAGTTATCATTTCCTTCTTCTCTTCCTCTCCCCCCCCCCAACTCCCTGACCCCTCCATGTTGCCTCTCTGCTCAGATCGCACCCCCAACATTGCTGCTCTACGTGGACGCTGGCAAGGAAACAATGGTGAAGCGCCTGCTGAAGCGCGGGGAGACGAGCGGACGAGTCGATGACAACGAGGAGACAATCAAGAAGAGGCTGGAGACGTACTACAAGGCCACGGAGCCTGTCATTGCCTTCTATGAGAAAAGGGGCATTGTCCGTAAGGTGAGTCCCATCGTCCACCCATCTGTCTCCCTCCGCTCCCAAGGACATAGGATGCAGGAGAGCAGAAAGCAACTAAGTGTTGCAAAATGGCCACCGCTTCTCCAAGTTGGCCACTCCACTCATGGGTGATGAACTTGGTCTGTCCAGATAATTTTTCTGGGGGGTGAGATGATTTGTTTGTTCAACAGTTCCAGCTTGAGGAGGCACCATGAGCTTCAATGGGGTCTTTTTCTCTTTTATTTTCTTTTTTTTTAGCTCAGAAACAGCAGAGCTTCTCCCTGTTTCTCTCTGTCTCTGTCTCTCTTAGGGCAACTTGGCCACCAATTTGCTTTCCCTGGTACAGGATTTCCAGTAGCTGGGGGTAGGGAGGGTGGGAGCTTTCCATGTTCCACAATACTCCCCTTTCCCATGAAAGACAGAAGCTAGAATTAAATAAAATGGATGCAGGCTGGCTTGACTTGCATCATTTTTGCAGGTTGCAGCTTTTTAAGGGAGTGGGGGTGGTATGGGTATATGGAACCCATGAACTGGGCCCCAGTTTGCGCTTACTTAGGCTTAGCAAACTTCTAGATCAGGCGTAGGCAAACTCCGGCCTTCCAGATGTTTGGGACTACAATTCCCATCATCCCTAGCTAACAGGACCAGTGGTGAGGGATGATGGGAATTGTAGTCCCAAACATCTGGAGGGATGGAATTTGCCTATCCCTGCTCTAGACTGTCAGTATTTTGTGAGGGGGATTCAAGCGGGTTTATACTGGACAGTCCTCACATCATTCTGCCTTGTCAGTGGTCCTGCAACACTTCCCGCAAGGTTACTGCATTATTTGAACATTATTTGAGCACAACGAAAGTGGGACAAAAAATAATAATGAACTGGACCATTTGTGCTATGAAAAGTTATAGGATTTCAGCAGGAAAGTTGCAGGATATTCACTGTATGGAAACAAAGCAGCGTGTGCACCCTGAAATGTCTCCAGGTACAAACAGCATTGAAAGCCAGATGCCATCATGAGCACAAATAATCCTGAATGAACAATAGATAGGGTTTTTTTTTCTGTCTAACTATAGAGCAAGCTTTGTGCAAGCCAATCAGGATGGATGCTGAATAAACGGGTTTTCTGGAGGAGCCCTTCCTTTCAGCAGGGGGCAGTGAGGTTCTGGTTCATCTTAAAGTGAGGGTGAGGGGGAGTTCAGTCACAACATGGGATGCCTCACTGTGTCTCTTGAAGATGTCCTGGCTTCATTCATAACTCCAAAGGAAGTGTCTACCAGGCCTCCAGATGCTTGGCATAGCAAGGCAGTGAGTAATCCACAGGCCCCACAGGACGGAAGAGGGGGCGCCAGGCCGATGGAGACAGTGTGAGGATTTAGGGGCAGAAGTGGACAGAGAGGAGAGGAAGCTGTGCTTGGGCGGGGAGGAAGGTGACTCCCAAGATTCATAGCACTTTGGCAAAGAGAGCTGTGGTTGCGTTTGGTGCCTTGAGCTGGAATCTTCCCTGAGAAGAGCAGCTCAAGGAGATGTCGGACTTCTTGCTAAACTAGTGTTTTTTATTACATTTGTTAGTTGCTTTATACAGAAAGCAACGAGAATGAAATGAAATGCAAACAGGCAAGTTTAGAGAGAAGCCAGATTCAAAACATGGCTTATGCCAAAGAATGAAGGGGAGTGTTGTTTGTTTTGGGGGCTGAGGGTTGTTAGGAGGCCTAACAAACTACACTTCCCAGAATTCTTTGGAGGAAGCCATGACTGTTGAAAGTGACATAAGAACACCTTGAATATTTTTTTTTAATATTTTTAATTGGTTTTAGAAATATTTTCATGCATGACATCATATAAACAAAGATAGATAAATAAAACATTTTGCTTCATAAGCCCATGACTTCCCTCCTCCCTGGCCAATGGCTTTCAAACCTGTTCTCTATATACCCATTTTCCTATATTTCTTAAATCATAATCATTTTAACCTTGCAAAACTTCCAGTAACCCTACTAGCAATGTTAGTTCTTTACAGTTGTCTTTCAAATATAAGATAAATTTATTCCAGTCTTTCAGAAAAGTCTGATCCTTACGGTTCTGAAATTTTCCCGTCAGTTTCGCCAATTCGGCGTAGTCCAGTAATTTCACCTGCCACTCTTCTTTCGTTGGTAAATCTTCCTATTTCCATCTTTGGGGTAATAACATGCTCACTGCAGTTGTTGCATATAAGAACAGTGTTTTATCCTACTTATGTATTTCTCTACCTACTATACCTAATAGGAAGGCTTCTGGTTTTTTTGTAAATGTATATTTCTACTTTGAATATTTAGAAGGCTTGAGGAAAGCAGTGCAAGGCAAGAAGGGGCTAAATATCCTTTCTTTTTCTTTTTCTTTAATTAATTTTTTATTAGTTTTCACATTTCTATATATCTTTACATTAACCATTTCACATATCCAAAAATAAAAAATAAATAAAAGGTTCCTTTGAACCATCAGACTTCCCTCCCTCCCTCCATGGGTTCTTACTATAATACAAAATTATCTTCATCCTTTTAAATTATCCAACTACTAATTGTTCCATTAAGAAAAACCATATAATATATTTCACATTACGAGCATCTTTACATTCCTGCCAGTGATTTTAAATGTTTACAGTGGTCCTTTAGAATGTAAAAAATTATTCCAGTCTTTTTCAAATACTTGATCTTCCTGGTTTCGGATCTTTCCTGTCAATTTCGCCATCTCCGCATAGTTCATCAGTTTTATCTGCCATTCTTCTTTCAAAGGTACCTCTTCTTTTTTCCAATTGTGGGCTAGCAATACTCTCGCAGGTGTTGTTGTATACATAAATAGTCGCTTATCTTCTCTAGGTATCTCTTTACCTACTGTACCTAACAAAAAGGCCTCTCATTTTTTTAACAAATGTCTTTTTAAACATTTTCTTTAATTCATTGTAAATCATCTCCCAGAACCCCTTCACCTTATTACAAGCCCACCACATATGGTAAAAAGTACCTTCCTTCTCCTTACATTTCCAACATAATTTTAAACTCACTTTATATATCTTTGCAATTTTACTTGGTGTAAGGTACCAACGATACATCATTTTCATATAATTTTCTTTCAACGAACAGCATGCAGTGAAGTTGATTTCTTCTCCCCATTGCTTCTCCCAAGATTTCTTTTCAATATTATACCCAAAATCCCTAGCCCAATGTATCATTACACCTTTAATTTCCTCATCCTTTGTATTCCATTCCAACAATGATTTGTACATTTTCGATACTGTGCAACATTACTGTGCAACAGGTCTATTTCAAACCTTTGATCTTATTGTATCAAACCCATTTCTTTTATCTGTCTTAAAAATATCGTTTACCTGGTGGTATTGTAACCAATCCGTCATAAATTCTTTTACGTCTTCAGGTTTCCTCCCCCCCCCCCAATTTTAACTGGTCTTGTGCTCCATTAACAAATCCCTATAGGTGGCCTAATTTCCTTTCATATTTAACTTTTTAACTGAAATCGCTTCCAAGGGTGAGAGCCACCAAGGTGTTTTCCATTCCAGTAAATTTTTATATCTATTCCATACCTTGTGTATTGACTTTCTTATTATATGGTTCAGGAATTCTTTGGCAGCTTTTACTTTCTCATACCATAAATATGCATGCCACCCAAAATTGTTGTCATAACTTTCCAGATCTATTAAATCCGTATTTTTCAACAATATCCAATCCTGTAGCAAGCAAAGACAGAAAACCTTATAATATAAGATCTGGCAGGGAGAAGCCACCTCTTATATTTAAGTTATATATAAAAAACTTATATTTTATTCTTGGCTTCTTCTCTTTCCAGATAAATCAAGATACTACTTTTTGCCATTCCCTGAAGTGTCCCACCCTGCTCACCACAGGGATTGATTGAAATAAAAACAACATTTTCGGTAGCACATTTATTGTCACAGCAGGAATCCTTCCCCAAAATGATAATTTCATCCTTCCCCACACCTCCAAATCCCTCTTTATTTCTTTTCACATAGGTATGTAATTGTCCTTAAATATATAATTTTGGCAGTTAACCATACCCCTAAATATTTGGTCTTTGGGATTTATTTCTGTTGAAACTTTTCTTTCAATTGTACAGTCATATTTTTTTATCAACATTTTCATTTTTACTTTATTAAGTCTGAAACCAGCTACTTGTCCAAATTCCTGAATTCTTTCCAGTGCTTTTGGTACACTGGATAAAGGATATTCTACTGTTATTACTAAATTGTCTGTAAAGGCTTTCAATTTATATTCTTTCTGCCCCACCCTGATTCCTTTTACACCTTCATCTGATCTTACAGCTCTCACCAGAGCTTCCAAAACAGTAATAAATAATAATGGTGACAGAGAACATCTCTGTCTCATTCCCTTTGTAATTTCACATTTTTTCAGTTATAACATTGTTAACAATCAGCATGGCTTTCTGTTTGGAGTATATAGCTCCTAGACCTGTAAGAAAGGATTGCCCTACATCCATCATTTCTAAGTTCTTTTTCATAAAATTCCAGGAAATATTGTCAAAGGCCTTTTCTGCATCAATAAACATCAATGCTGCTTGCTTATCATTCCTGGTCTCCAAGTATTCTATTACACCTATTATATTCCTTATATTATCTTTCATTTGTTGACCAGGAAGAAAACCCGCTTGATCATTTACGAATAATGCCTTTTAATACATCTTTTAATTTATTTGCTAATATGTTGGCAAAAAGTTTATAATCATTGTTCAGTAGTGAAATCGGCCTGTAATTTTTAACCAGAGGTAGATCAGTGTCTTGTTTTGGAATTAATGAAATGTAGGCATCCTTACATGAATTTGGTAGTTTTCTTTTATTCATTATATTCTTCATAACATCCTTCAATGGTAACACCAGCTGATCATTTAGTTTTTTTATAATATTTCACCGTAAGTTCATCTGGGCCTAGCAATTTGCCTAATTTGGAATGTCCTATTGCTGATTGTACCTCCATCATTGTAACTGGTGCATTCAACTGATCCTTCTTTTCTTTTGGAATCTTTGGTAGTTTATTCTCCTTAGATAGTCCTCAATTTTTTCTAAGTCTTCTTTTCCAGCCATATACAAGTCCTGGTAAAATCTCCAAAAAAAAATTCCTAAAGGGGCTAAATATCCTTTCAAGCTGCTACTCTGATCAAAATTAGAGTCCTCCGATGCTACTTTTAAAAGTGTGTGTGTGTGTGTGTGTGTGTGTGTGAGAGAGAGAGAGAGAGAGAGAGAGAGAGAGAAGTAGGGAGAAACTTTGTTTTAAAAGAGTTTTGGGGAAATGGCTTTACAAGAGGCTTAGACAAATTCATGGGGAATAAGGCTATCAACGGCTACAGAGGCAGTATGCCTCTGAACACGAGTTGATGGGAGTCAGAGGTGGGAAGAGCACTGTTGCACTCTGGCCCTGCCTGCAGACTTCTTGTTGGGATTTTGTTGGCCTCTGTCAGAACAGGATGATAGACCAGAGGGGCCTTTCGGCTGATCCAGCATCCAGATCTCTTGAGCAGCATATCATTTTTTTACTATGCACCCAGGACACATGGGCAGCATGAAGCCGGGGCTTATGCTTGCTCTCTACTAAAAAGAAATTATTATTATTATTATTATTATTATTATTATTATTATTATTATTATTGAAATTCTACACATATGCACCTCCCTACCCCCAAAGCTGCAACCTGTATAAATCATGCAAATCAAGGGAACATGGATCCATTTATTTAATTCTGCTTCTTGTTTTCATGGACAAAAGCAAAGAGCATGGCAGTCAACCCATGGCCATTGGAAATTCTGCTCAGAGCCTCCTCTGGCTTCTGAGACACCTGTAAACCATTTCAAGTGTTGAAGCTTACTTTTGCATCCTTAAGGGCTAGAAACTTTAAATTTTAAAAAGCAAGGACAAAAGCTGGACTTCTTCAACTAGTACCATACTGTTCAGAGGAAACACGCAGCCCCACTGCCCAAGTTTAGTCATTATCTGAAGAGTATCCCTACCTCCAGGTCTGGTCCTGACCAGAAGGATACAGGAATCAACAAGGGTGTCCCACATGACCTTAAGGTGCTGCTGTGCAATGCCAGGTCAAAGATTCATAAGACCACTGCCATCCATAATTTGATCATGTATGAAGGAGTTGACCTGGCAGGTGCTCTTGCTCCTTCTTGTCTACCAGATTTTTCTTATGCACAGCAGCCCAGAGCATGTGAGGGTGGTGGTGGTGGTTTGCAGTGATTTTTAGGAAGTCATTAGTTATCATCAGGTGTCCTATTAGGGAGACCAAGTTTTCTGAGTGCATGTCTAGAAACTGGGCAATAGGAGCAGTACATCATTCCTATTGGTGGACCTACCTCCCTGCTGCACCCACTGGCAGAGGAAGAGGAGTGCGGGGGGAGCGCACCGCCCCCGGCAGCGCAATCCTGGCGAGGTGCCATCATGGCTGCCTCCCCGCCTGCGCTGGGTGCCACGCCCCTGAAGGCGGCGCACCACACCCCCAGGACATGTGCCATGCCCCTGCAGGCGGCATGCCACACCCCCGGGATGCACGGCAGCCCCTCCCCTGCCTGCTGTCCGCCCCCCAGTGCTGGAGCATGAAGCTCCGCCACTGGCTGCACCAAGGATTCCCTTCCTGAGTTGCTTTGCGTCGTGACAAATGTTATCCTGGATACACCAGGAGCACTACCTGGTACAACTAGCCTTCTCTGTAACCCCTTCTGCAGGGAGGTGGGACCGATTCAAATGGTCCTCCCCCACTACTTAATGGATCCAAATGGCTTCCAGAAAGCAATATGGAATGTATTATCCCATGTTGATGGCTTTTTAGCTGATTCCCTGGTGGTCTGCTGGAATGCAAAGTTAACCAGCGATTGCATGGAGCCCGAACAGCCCCGTGGTTTCCCCTGAAGCTGAGGACAATGAAACAATTGCTGAGACAGCTAGAGCGCCTGTGGCAGAAAACACATTCTCAATTGGACCAGACACTGATTAGAGCTCAACGTTGAGCCTACCAAGTGGTGATAGTGACACAAAGAGGACCTTCTTTGCTGCCTCTGTTGCATCTGCAGGAAACAGCAGGGGACTCTTTCAGGTGGTTTGCAATCTAACAGAACCACCTCCACCATCGGGGCCTGGTGAGGACCCCAAGATCTCTTGCAATGATTTTGCAAAGTTTTTTGCAGATAAAATCGCTCAGATTTGGAAAGAAGTAGACTGCATCATGGCAGCAGGGTCAGGGTGGGAAAGTGCCAGAGCTCTGTCTAGTTAGGTTGTATGGGATCAACTTCAACCTGTTACCTCAGAGGACGTGGACAGGCTGCTTAGACAAGTGAAACTGACCACCTGTCTCTTTGATGGGGAGGGGAAGGACCCTCTTGTCATTCGCCCCAGTTCAGCCCTGCTTGTGACACCCTGATAATTTCCTTTATTTAATTTTTTAATAGTTTTCTTCTTTGTCACCTCCCCACCTTTCGCTGTGTAACATCTAGCCTTATGAAGAGTTCTGGAGGACATGAATTCTTGCTTGCTATTTTGGGACTTTTTAATGTTGGCCCTGATAGAGGCATTGTCCGACGGTGGGTTTTGGATCTTTTCTTATGGACCCAACTGCTGGCTGGCTTCCTTTGCTTTTTGGGCACACACACAGACGTTGCACATGAATCTGTACTGGAGACTTAGTGATGCACACATGCTGCCCTGTGCACTGGCAAAGCACCCCTTCCTACAATTCTCTGTGCCAGGGATGGAGCACCTCCAGATATTGTTGGACTCCTGTTCCTATCATCTCTGCCCATTGGCCATGGCAGTGGGGGTTGGTGGGAGTCAGCATCCAGCAACATCTGGAGGGCGCACAGGTGTTTTCTACTTGTAGTCTATACAAATGCATCAAGTGGTTTTATTTTTAAAGGGTTCTTGCCATGACCAGGATGCAAAAAAAAAAAAAAAAAAATCAAAGCGGGTTGGTGGGCTCTGCTTTATTATTTACCTGCCCTCTACCCTAAGGTTAAACATTAAAAAGCAATACGGAAAACAGTTTAAAACAATTTTTACCATCACAAAATTAAGGTGGGTGCATAGTAGAATGGCTTAGAATTGCTGGCGATGGCTGTCAGCTGAGGGATGGGAGGTGTGTGTGTGTGTTAAGGTTTTCATTTTGCTCAAAGTGTGATGATAGTGTTTTGCACTAGCGGCAAGGCTTTGGCTGCCCCGGGGGCCAAATTGCTAAATCCATCTTCCTTCTCTCCTCAGCTTAATGCCGAAGGCTCAGTGGACGACGTGTTCCAACAGGTCTGCACTCACCTGGATGCCCTGAAGTAAAATCGCAGGCAAGAGCACCTGTTGATTCTCCACCCCCACCCTCCCCCTCCCCCACAGCTCCCTCCTCTCTCACTCTCTTCCCCACCACCAGTGAATCTCCGTCCCTGATGCCTCTCCCCCTTCCCACTCAATCTTGCCTCAGATCCATGCAGAGGAGCCCCCTCTTTGCCTCCCCACGTGAGCCTCTCTAGTCCCCCTCCTCTCGCCTGCTTCATCTCCGATTTCATCTCAGGGGTTGTGACAGCGGAAGTGGTGTTATCCTGTTTTCGTGGACGGAGCCTCGTTGGAGGAAATTTCAAGGACATTATGTTTGCCTCCCTAAACTTCTCTCCAAAGTAAAGTTCACTTTCATGAGCTGAGATGTTATTTTTTTTTTATCTTTTACCCCCTTCCCCCCTTCTTCTTCTTTAACAGGAAAAGCTCTCATGTTATGTTCAGAGGTTGATTAAGGGCAGGAAACTGCATGTTTATCCCACTGCAGAGTATCCAGAGAAGGAGATCTTATTTTCTCTGGATGAGTGGCATGTAAAATGAGGCTGCAAAGGGGACGTTCTCTGATCCTAGTAATTCAGTGGAATGTCAGAGAAAAGCTAAGGCTGGGTCATGATCTTTTAAAAACCCAGAGCCTGCTTTGAAAATGCAGCTAGAGGTTTCACCATACAATGCAGGATAACAGCACCTGTCTGTTGCAAATATAAACACAAATATTAGTCAAAATAACTTGTCACATGGAAGGTGGGACATAAGAACTTAAAGTGCTTGGCTTGCAACATGTGGCAGTGGATGGTTATAACATGCTTTCTACCCATTGTTTGAGATAACCATCTTTAGTGAAGACCAACACTTTATAATGCTCTGAAATGATTGGCTGATGTTTCTCATCAATGGCAGGAGAGGTGCTGCTGATAACTGGGAATCTCTCTCCACCCTTTGAAATGTAACTCAATAAATCACTTTGTAAAAATGTGTAATTAGGGGAAACTGCGTACAAAATGTGTGTATTGGGATAAATCTGCACTAAAATGCTGAAGATTTTTTGATGGGGGCTTTAATCTAAAAACTTGCAAACTGATGTGATGTGAAAATGAATTTGCAATGTGGTAGAGGCAGGGAATGAGAACCCAAGAGAACCAAAAGTGGCAGATTTTCCCATCCCTATTTGGTTTACAGATGCACCCTCTGAATGCCGTATTTCTGCTTCTACAAGGAAAGCTGCTCCACCCCAGGGCAAGAAACCCCTGTGGTTTTTCTGTGGTTACTTGATATCAGGGCTTTTTTTTCAGCCAGAACTTACCAGAACTCAGTTCCAGCACCTCTCAGATGGGCACCATTGCCATTCTAAGAGAACATGTTGAGTTCTGGCACCTCTTTTTCTAGAAAAATAGCACTGCTTGTGCTATAGCACGGCAAGGTGGCATAGAGGAAGGGGGTGGGGTCAGATACTTAAAGGACTTTTGCACAGGCCCATGATGAAAATTGGCACAAATTCCCCCATACACACATGTATACGGATAGACACTTCTGGGAAATTAAGTTGGTTAGCTTGGTAACCTGCTACTCTATGAGCAAAGCTTTTTTTTTTTTTTTAGTTTTAAAGGTGGGGATGTGGACAGGGGACCCACTGCCTGGGGTTTGGGGACCCCTGGGCCATCTCCTATCAATGCCCCTGCCCAGAAACACAACCAGAAATAAGAGACCCAGTTTTTCAGTGGATGAAAGGTGGTCTTTTTCCTCTAGCACAATGGGAGGCTTTTAACGGCTTCGTGGGCTGCAAGTGAGATCCTTGTGACCAAATGCCCCTCAGTTCCCCACTCTCCAGACTGTATACCTAGAAAGCAGCATATCATGAGGGAAAACTTTGTTCTGTGTACAATGGGGGTTGGCGGTCAAGCAGCATTCCTTCAAGTAAGCCCCACCTAGACTCTGAAGTGGTATATCTCCAGTTGAAGACTGCTGGGCTTCTAATAACATAATCACAGAAAAATTAAGGGGATCTTGTGTTACCCATCCCAACAGAAAACTAATTTGCAGTGAGATTTCTTCCCTTGAAAGAAGGAGACAAACAGGCATGTAAACTTTCATTCTAGAGTGGGCTATGAAAGGAGGTGGCTGGAGGCCAGGCATCCCCTTGCCCCCATTTCATCCCTTACCACTTCATTCCCTTAGCAGCCATAAGCTACAGATTGACAGCTTCTATGTGCCTTTTTCTTTGGTCTGCTGATGAAAATATTTTAGTAGGAGCCCATCTCTGCCAGTCTCCCTTATTTCTCTGTCTCTGTGGATCGGGAATGGGGGACTTGCTGGAGCCCAGCTCTCATCAGCCCCAGGCAGCAAGGATGATGGGACTAGTAGTCCAGCAGTATCTAGAGAGCCACAGGTTTCCTGTGTGAGCTGTAGGGAGACTTTGAATCCAGAGTTCTTCAGCCTTGGGCCCCCAATATGGCTGGATTGCAGCTCCCATCTGCCCCAGCCAGCTTTCACCCATGGTCAGGGATTATGGGAGTTGTAGTTCAACAACATTTGGGGACCTAAGGTTGAAGAGCATGGCTCTACGTCACAGGTGGAGCCTCTGGCCATCTTTATATTACTGAACTACAACTTCCGATATCCCTGCCCATTGGCCATGATGGCCTGGGCTGATTGAGAGTTTGAGTCCATCTGGAGGGTTGAAGGCCTCCCATCCCCGCTCCCTATGCTTTAGGGAGAGAGAGATTTGGGAGTGGGGAGGGGTGGGACACAACTGAAGCCCGGGATGGTGTACCTAAACTCGGGTGGGATTTTGTAATGTGAACACTGTGCCTCATTTTCTTTCTCTCTGATTACTGGAGCACTCCAAACTCACAGATAGCATTTCGCATGCACCCTGATGCGTTATAACGGTATCCAGTTCTTTTGTACAATGATTTCTAATATTTATATAAGTGGGGAGAGGGGGGAAGCCCCCCTGCATCCCATCCAAAGTCTTAAAGGCCCTCTGTCCACAGGCCTAATGTCCGAATGTATTTATCATATCATTATTAAAGAGTAAAAAACATGGCAACCATGTAATGTGTGTGCGCGCATTATGTCATCACCAACCTTTCTGGCATTTCCTCTCTTGGTTGGAACTACTGGCCACAAAGGCTCTGTTCTCCCCCCACCGTCAGACGCAGTCTGCCTCTGAACACCCGCTGAATCACAGGTGGAGACTGCCCTGTTTGGCACAGGCCCTGCTTGTGAGCGTCCCTTAATGGGTATCTGAGGAGACATCATAGAAGCATCTAAAGTGATGAATGGTGTTGAAGAAAGTGGGCATTTTCCTCCTAATACCGGGCCTCCAGGACCTCCAGTGAAGCTGTAATCTTGGGAGATTCGGGACACAAAATGAAGCACTTCTTCACACAGGGCATAAAAGTATGGAATTTGTGGTGATGGCCACCAACTTGGATGGCTTTAAAGAAGGATTAGACAAATTCATGGAGGATAAGGCTATTAGCGGTTACTAGCCATGGTGACTATCTTCTATCTCCACTGCAATATGTCTCTGAATCCCACTTGCTGTAGGATTCAGGGGGTGAAAGTACGGTTGCGCTCGGGTCCTACTTTCAGGCTTCCCATTGCAGCATCAGTTTGGCCACTGTGAGAACGGGATGCTGGGCTAGATGCGCCCTTTGCCTGATCCAGCAGGGCTCTTCTTATGCCTCCTCACCAGTGTGGTGTAATGGTTAAGAGCGGTGGACTCGTAATCTGGTGAACCGGGTTCGCTTCCCCGCTCCTCCACATGCAGCTGCTGGGTGACCTTGGGCTAGTCACACTTCTCTGAAGTCTCTCAGCCCCACTCACCTCACAGAGTGTTTGTTGTGGGGGAGGAAGGGAAAATAGAATGTTAGCCGATTTGAGACTCCTTTGGGTAGTGATAAAGCGGGATATCAAATCCAAACTCTTCTCACCTTCTCGTTTCAGGTATAGGGTTATGCCCTGAAACAGTCAATGAATCTTCTAAAACGTGCACTGAGTGAAGCAGTTGCCCTAGGTGGCAGATGGGTGTGGTGGCAGCAGTCCCCCAGCCATTCCCCCGAATCCGCCTAAACTAGCATGCTCTGCCTCCCTTAAGCTACACTGGAGCCTCAGGTATGGTGCAGGATGTTGTCCCATTGCCAGAGTTGAGATGAGATTCAGCTATGAGTCTTGTCAGATTCTGTAAGTGGAATATGGAGTGGGCGGCCATCTTGCCCTTTGCCTCAGGCACCAAATTTGCTGGGCTGGGCTGGCCTCATTGTGGCCATTAGCCAATGGATCCGTCAGAGGATACTTTTCTGAACCTCCCAGGAAGGTTGCTCAAAGCAGGTCCCGAGTGCGAGAAGAACAGACCTCCTCATCAAATGCAGGCTGCTGAAGAAAAGGATGGCAATCTGTGGTTGGGAGCTGTAGGGCTTTGAGGAGAAACTGGAGTTACCATGGAGGTCGGTGGTTGTATAATGAAGATTGCACACTGTATTGTAGTTGGAGTTAGAGAGACGCCGGACGGGGAAGGAAGCTGACTGTAAAAACATGCTCAGATGTCGAAGTCATCAAATGAGGTCGAGGAGCCTGAGGTGATAAACAGGAACAGGCTGTGCGTCTGTAGCAAGGAAAGAGAGCCTCCCCCCTCCAGCCGGTGAAGCCTCAGTGGGAGATGGCGCGTGCCTGGAATGTTGGGAGGAGGAAGGATATGACAGCCCTCTCCCTCCACACACACATTCCTCACCCCACATTTCAACAGGCGCAGGAATCGCATCTCCTTGGGGCAGCCATCAGAGATGAGCCAAAGGGGCAGGCTTGGAAGAAGGTGGTGGTTGGTGGGGTTTCCTCGCACAGGGATCACCGCCACTCTTATTAGGCCAGTGGGCACATTTTGATTTTGGGGAGTGATAGTAGCAAGCGCCAGTCCCTCTGGGGACTTCTATAGCCTCTCCCCTTGATCAGCACCCCCACTCCACCCTGATGGAGAGAGAGAAACAGATAAATAGGCACACTTCGCTTTCCCAAAGGATCTGGCTGAAAGTCAAACCCAAATGAATTAAAACAAAAAAAATTCCTTCCAGTAGCACCTTAAAGACCAACTAAGTTAGTTCTTGGTATGAGCTTTCGTGTGCATGCATACTTCGAAAGCTCATACCAAGAACTAACTTAGTTGGTCTTTAAGGTGCTACTGGAAGGAATTTTTTTTGTTTTGACTATGGCAGACCAACACGGCTACCTATCTGTAACCAAATGAATTAAATGGACTTGAGAAGCACATGGAGCTGAAAGAGGAAGTGAGAAAGAGTGACCTCCTTTCTCTTTTTACTTTATGTACTTTTAGAGGGAGGAAATGGTAAAACACCCTCATGACCAAGGAGCAAACGAGTGAGGGGCTCAGAGGGTTTCTGGGTACCCAGGGAAGGCCTCATGAACGCTATTGCACCTACAGTTGCCAGTCTTTCCCCATCTCTTTGCCACCTGGTGCAGATGAACGACAGAAGGCCCCTACAACAAGCGCAGCACATACGTTGGACCCCCCCCCAATCCAGCCAGGTATGTTTTAGTGGCCCACTGTGCCTGCAAAATCAGGAAGAAAAGAAGCCCCCCAATGTACTACTTTGTTCCTGAAATTCTGAAGCCGCAAGTGCTGCAATGCGAGCTGCCCTAGGGGAGTTCGGCAGGTGGGGACAAAAGGCAGAGCCTTTTCAGTTATGGCCCCCAGATCACAAAATGAACTCTCCTGGAGTGGTGCATTGAGCCCCCACATTGCCCATTTATTTTATGTTTATTCATTGCAAGTCTTGTTGAAAACAATCACCAAACCCAAAGTGTTGTCTTCTAAGACAAATACATGTACATATGCTAAGTCTTGTATGCAGGGGCATCAAAACAATTTTGGAAAATCTTTTATGTGACAGGTTAAGCTCACATCTACAGGATATACAGACAGTTCCCCATTTGCACACAATCAGCACACGTGACTGTTGACACACACACCATTTTTGGTGCTGAAAGGGGGTGGGGATGAACAGGGTGGGTCAGAACAGACTAGCACACTTTCCACTGATGTGCGCAGTGTATGGGTACATAAGCAGGGATTCTGCTGTGCCACAAATGAAAGCATTAATGTACTTTCTCCATACTGGCTGCTTTTTATTAAGTGTATAATAAACAAGACTAACGAAGCACCCCAACATTTCAAAGAAAGGAAGGAAAACAATTTAGCATGGTCACATATAAGGTAAGGAGATTACAGGGAGAATTGTTCAAAAAAGTGGTACTGTAGCATTCCAAGACAAGACATAAACAATGGATCAAAAACTCACATGATCAAAAACAGCGCTGGATGAAATCATATTTAGATGGAATTTGCCGTTCTTGTGACTGTGTTGTTAAAATAAGCTACAAAGAACCCCACCAGACATCCACAAAGTCTGCTTCCCCACTGACAACCTGCAGTTGGTGGGTCAGTTTTGCTGATGTGCCTATGAATAAGGCTTTTAAAAACCAGCTCGTAATAGAGTGCTTTGGGTTATATTTATTTTTTCATAGTAAAAATGATAAAATGGTTGTGAGCAAAAGAGGCCTCGCCACACAGTAGACGTGCGATGTCAGCTTCCCAGCAGGTGGATCACTGCTGATTCCTGGAAGGGAGAGAACATGTAGTATGGTGGCGAGGAGGGCACCTGGAACAAATGCACCAGTATGTACACTGGATTGGCTCCACCGGTGTGTTTGCACCATGCTGACCTCCTTGCCCTTCTCCTTTCTGGGAAGCAAGAGCGACCCACCTGCCAGGAAGCTGGAGTAGTGACTCTACCCCAGCCTCTTCTGAGTATAAGCCTAGAATACAGTGGTACCATTTAATTCGTTCCGGAGGTCCGTTCTTAACCTGAAACCGTTCTTAATCTGAGGTACCACTTTAGCTAATGGGGCCTCCTGCTGCCGCCACACCGCCATTGCACAATTTCTGTTCTCATCCTGAAGCAAAGTCCTTAATCCGAGGTACTATTTCTGGGTTAGTGGAGTCTGTAACCTGAAGCGTCTGTAACCCGAGGTACCGCTGTATATGAATTGTAGAGCCGAAAGGGATCTAGTCCAACTCTATGCAATTGGCATTTGCTTTGGAAGGAAGGTTATAAATTATTGGGGCATTTAATTTACTTCATCATCATCATCATCATCATCATCATCATCACCATCATTTTATTTGCATGCTATCTTTCCATGGTTAAAACTATGCTCAAGGTGGCTTACAATATGAAAAAAAGAGAGAACTGAATCGACCCACCTTTTTCTTCTCATATGCGACAACTGAATGTGGCGCTGTAACTTCAGAAGTTTCTTGGTATTTGATCCCTTCTCTGTGTCTGTGTTTTATTTTTCTACTTTCACATTTATTTTTATTTACCATACCCATCGTTTTTATTGCATTCTGTATGTGTTTATGCCAATCAACTTTTAATTAAAAAATATGAAAGAACTGCAACGTAACAAAAGGAGTAACAAATAATAAAAAGCACATTAAAAACACACACAACCAAATTGATTGATTTCCACATAAATCATTAGATCTTAAAACATAGATACAATAATAATAATAATATCAACAGCAGCAATAAACCCCCCTAAGAAATACCCCAGTCTTAGTGTCTGCTCATCAGCCTCAGCTTTTGCAGCTGGAGTCAGTCAGGATCCCACCCTCCCAGGCCAGCAAGGAGGGGGGGGAGCAGGTCTTCTGGGGCTCCCAGCCAATATGTTTAACAAAGGAAAAATTGTGCCACTTAGTTGTAAGTAAAACTGCTAAGCAGTGAACAAATTAATAAATATAGCAGCTTCTCCAGTGTTCTGACCTTAGGAGAGGGAGGAAAGTGAGATGGTGGTTGCAGGCCATGCCCTGAGGTTTGGGAGGAAGTGGGATACTGTAATTTCACAACTGACACCGGGGCTTAAACCCGTGGTTCCCACAAGGGGCAATTTGATTTTTAATGGGGGCAATTCGAGAATGAGTTATTAACAGTGAATCTGCATTTCTTATGGTTCTAGGGGCCTCGTATACAG